AAGATGACGAGCTGCGGCCTCCTGAACAGTTCCAACAAGCCGGGTGAGTCAGGGGTGGGGGGGGGCGGATGACTGATGCCCCCTTCCCCTGGAGCCCATGGGGGGGGGCATGGCTGACATCCCCCTTTCGTGGCACCCATGGGGGTCAGAGGGGCCCGTGGCTGATCTCCCTCTCCCCCCAGTGCCCCTGCGCAGCGGCGTGGTGACGGTGCTGATCCGAGGCTTCGTGGCGGACGTGGGCTGTGAGCTGCTGTACAGGAACGAGGAGCCGGGGCCTGTGGAGGCCGTATTCGTGTTCCCCGTGGACGCCGAGGCGGCCGTCTACGCCTTCCAGGCCCGCCTGGGGGGCGCCTGCATCAAGGCCCAGCTCCACGAGAAGAAAGAGGTACCAGGGGGGAGAGACGGTACCAAGGGGGTAGGGTATGGGTACACACTGGCTCGGGGGCAGGGCAATCTTGGGGTGACCCCATCTCTCCCGGCAGGTGCAAGAGCTGTACAGGGACACACTAGCCGGGGGGCAGGGCAGGGGGATGTTGGGGGAATGGGGAATCTTGGGGTGACTTGGTCTCTCCCAGCACACACAGGAGCTGTATGGGGACACCCTGGCAAGGGGATCTCGTGGGATAAGGAGATCTCAGGCTGACCCTGTGTCACGGAGTGTGGGGGGGCACAAGGCCCTGCCCCCCCAGCTTCCTGCAATTCACCATAACTCTCAGCCAGCCAGTAAAGCAGAAGGTTTATTTAGACGACAGGAACACAGCCCAAGACAGGTCTTGCAGGCACAGACAACAGGATCCCCCCCAGTTAGGTCCATCTTGGGGTCCCAGGGCCCCACAGCCCCCTTGGGAGGTCAGAGCCCTGTCTGCCTCCCAGCCATTCCACCAGCCAGCTCCTGAAACTCTCCCTTCAGTGACCCCTCCCACAGGCTTTGTTTGGTTTCCCGGGCAAAGGTGTCACCTGGCCTCTAACCCCTTCCTGGGTTCTCACATGGCATGCTCAGGTATCTTCCCTCAAGGCCAGTCTCCCATCCCCCAATGCAGACTGTCCTAGCCAACCTCCCCACTCAGCATTCAAAGACCTCATTAAGAATAGTCCCAGTTTGTCACACCCTGTCTCTTCAGGAGGTGCAGGAGCTGTTACTTCTAAGGGAATTAGGCACCAAAACAAATTAAAATTCTGTGCACAATATTTTAAAATTCTGCATATATTTTTTGTCAAAATAAC